GCGCCCTTGCCCGATCACACTGCTGCCTGCAGACAGAGTCATCAATATAACTTTATGCTGCTGCTAGTTTTATTCGTGCTCAGACAAATGCGAAGTTGCTAGTTTAGCACCGCCATGCCGACGTTCTGCGTCCACGCACCCACTCACATGTTCGCGCGTGGCCATCTGTACCCGCACAGCTTGAGCTAGTTTCAGCGGTGTCTAATCATTTAACGGCAGGAATTCAATTACCAAAGTTTTGACAGCGAAAAATTTCAAACTCACTTGTGTCATTGCTATTGCGGGGCACGGCGTGGCAGACGCGTATACAGGTGTATGAGAAGCAGATATGCACATGACGCAACTTTCGCAATGTTTGAAGACACATTGTAAAGTTTATGGAAAAAAGGAAAAAAAAAAAAACACCAGAAGACAGAAATCGTTTTACTACAAATATGAGCAATATGTAGATGTATTTCATACACTTCTGACACAAAAAAAAATTAAACAAATTCTTAATTTTTTATTAAGTAAACTTTTAAATAATAGATGGACATTAACCACATCGACTACCCAACATTCACAATATACGGCATATGGTCATTCAGAATATCGAAAATCATAAGGCGTAAAGACCTTGGGCCTTTTCGTATTCCAATCTGGCTCGAAAGCCAAGACGCTGACCCCAATTTTCGGCGGTTTTCAAGTATAAATCGCCCGATACTGCCGCAATTTCAAGTTCGATATTCGTACGAAGTTCATCAATAGTCGCTGGCTTCTTGGCGTAGACCATAGGACGTAGCCCCACAGGAAATAGTCAAACGGCGTCACATCGCACGACCGAGGCGGCCAATTAAGTGGCGCCATTCTCTTAGAACCATATATTTTCTAAGTCCATATCACCCAAATCGAACCAAAAATGTTCGGTTATCATTGAGCGGTAACGACTCCCATTCATAGTAACGCGCCGACCCATAAACCGCACTAAACCGTGATTTTTTCAGAATGCAATGGTGACACATTTTTCAATGAAAATTCGTATCATGAACATAATACCTTTTGTGTGGTCAAGTGGCTTCAGTTCTTGCGTCAAATTGATTTTGTAAGGATATAAGCAAAGATCTTTCACAAAATTCGAGAAGTGAAGGACTGATTTGGGTCTTCCTTATTTGATGCGCTAGCGGCAGCAATATTCTCGACACTACGATCACTTCTTTGTCTCACTAGACGTTGCCCTCTTAAAGGTGGGGCCAGTGACTATCGGTAGAAAATTTTAATGATTTTGTCTCGCTGTTGGTTCGTATATCTTTTCATGGTGAAATGGCAAACCTTACTGAGGCGAAATGTCAAAAATGCCTAAAGAGATATGTCGCCGTTGTTCTCCCTATCGGTTTTGTAGCGTTCGTATTGAAAACCCCATTACGTGGTGGATAGTTATTGATTTGATTTCTAATTTATCCGTAAAAATGAATTTTCCTACTTTCCTGGCTAGCAGAAATGCAAATATTGTGCTTTACTCCTCACCCCTGCCTTTCGACCACAGCTTTCCTCGATTCACACTTCATTCTATAATCTACTTATCAATGCAGTTAGACACCCTCTTAACTTGACTTTGTTTTCGTGTAAAAATTAATTTGTTAAAATATAATAGCAACAAGTTAGGCAGATAAGAAATCAGCGGCAGCTTAACCACGGAAGGGACACCACGAAGTCAAGCCATTCGCACTACTCGCTTTCCAAACTCACTTAAGCGAATGAATTTAATTTTGATTTTCGATTAAGCTTTGTTAATGATTCCAATTATAGCATGTTCATAATTGCATTACGCTTGTAGCGATTTATCAATCAAGGCCGTCTTCAAGCATCCACGTAACCGAGTAGTCAAACAAAGCGACCCTCCGAACAAAAAGTGTTTGCATTTTAAATTGATTTTCAAGAGTTAGCGATGCAACTACCGGCAGCTATAGTGCAAATAAAAGCGAGTTTACGTAGGCTTTTTAAAAACAGTATTCAGTGCAGTTTGGATTTCTTCAAAATATTTTTGAGCTGGCGTGGACATAAATGAAATGTAGAACCGCATTGACTCTAATAGCCAAACTCCCTGATATAAAATAAAACTTAGTCATTTTTTATAACTTATTTACATATATGTGATAAACAGTTATTTTCAGGTGGTTATTTTTTTCTTGTTCTTAATCCTGCAACAAAAGGCGAAAGAGTTACTTCACATCCAACGCGATTTTTAATTTCCGTTTTCTTTGTATATTTTCTTCATGCAAGCATGTGTCTCTTGTGTGATAATATTTCTTGTACCTGCAAGTATTCCAATTTTCTTTGCGTACTCCTGTCCTCCTCTTTAATGCATTTATTGCGTTTCTCCAGCTCTTTAGCTGCAGATACGTTTTCTACGGCTGAAGGTCTGATATGTTGCAAGCAACTTTGGGACATAATCAATCTTGTTACCTGCTTTAATGGTTGCAGCTAACACCGTAGCCACTCAACGGCGGCGAAAGCCCCAACACAGGTGCTCACACACAGACATCGCCGCAGCGCTGTAGACATTTTGAGATACATATTCGGGTGGCACTTCCGGTAGCAAAATTAAGATGCCACGCATACTGAAATAGCTGGTTGCAACTTTCCCGGCCACGGTGGGGATTTAGTGTGTAAATAAGACAGAAAAACAATTGTGTTTGCTTAGCTTAGAAGGATATAATGAAGAACTGAAAGAAATTTCAGCAGCAAGCGTACAGACGAAGTTGAGGATACTGCATTGCCTTGGTGGCTTGCGCAGCTTTCAGCGTGTTTATATTATTCTGCAGGTGTTACCTGTCCGTCGGATGTGCTTGTCTCAGCCGCAGCAAGCGTTGGAGGTTGCACCTTGCCTTAACAAGCAGAGCAAACTGTTTATATATTTCGCAGCATTCGGCGCATTCACTTTTCTAAGCAGTTTTTATTACTAACTAAACTTGGCTTGCTAGGAGTATATAGCTTGAGCGCTGCTTTCCGTTCTTCGTTATGGCGTACTACAATGAAGAATTTTAATCAGGATTTTGCTACAGTGGTAAGACCCAAGTGCTCCAAATCATGACTAATGTTGCGTTTCTAATTTTGTGGCTTTATTAATAATGACAAGCGACGAGCGCGCTACTAATTGAGATCTGAGATAGTAAGTGTTATGGTATGGGTTTTCAAGTCATACTTTAATTGATTCATAAACTTCAATTGTTTAATAAACAACAAAACTTCGTCTGCACCGAAGCTGTAATACTATTGACGAGGTGACACCCTATATATATGTAGTTTATACATAGTATGTATGCTATGAAAACATATGTTTGAAGATAACCCTTGCCATATAATCTATGTCAAATTTCATGAAGACATATTATGAAATAGCTCTGACAGCTCATCGTTCTATCGACTGCGTTGCTCGCCGTAGCAGTACTTTGCTCTAACAATATCGTAACGTCGACTCCTCAGATATTGTCATCGTTCATGCCTCTGTACCATATGGCAGGACAGGAACTTAGACTTATATATGTAGTTATTTAGTCTACAATTATTTCAATTCTGTAATAGATCAATTTATGTACATACTTTCGTCTAAGAATTAAATACATTTATTTTTATTAATAAACACGTGTTTTACACTTCAATCAGACAAGTGATTGAAATATAAATATTCTTATAGCGATCAGTGCCTTATACTATTTTAGGTACAAAGTCAATCACGGGCAGCAAACGTATTTTCAATTCATTTGTAGTCTAACAATAATACTTAAATGTGCAACTACTACTTACTATTGACATAGTGTCAACAGTGTATAATTGATTACAAGTATAAGCATATACATATATATTTTAACCCACAATTATGCAGCATAATCTTTAAGCATGCTTTTCTACACAACCTTAACTGTTTTTAAATTGTTCACAGCATTTTTGCTTCCTGAACATTCTTATATTTATGTATGCAAATTTGTCTCTCACATTGAGCAACAAAAGTTAAGCGCTCACAACTCGTATATTTGCGGACTGAATAAAAAATTTGTTAATTAAACATTTGTATCAGCGCTGATATTATATATTTATTGCCGTCTAACTCAACCAGCTAAGCGGGTATACTTAGCATGCTACTAACTACTACCACTAAGATCTGTCTCTTATACACATCTAGATGTGTATAAGAGACAGGCTCGATCACATTGTAGTCTTAATTATCTAATTTGCTTTACAAATAAAACTTCAATGAACCATTTTAAATCGTCTGTCAAGCATAATACTTGAGTTCTTATTATCTAACTGAGACCGACTTTTGCCAATTCACCTGCAGTTCTACACCCTAAGTACTAGCATATTGTTGGGTATATACACTTTTGAGTTAACAATGCTCAGCTAAGAACTATCAGACAACTGCTCGAACGGTACTCGAGCTGAATATTTATATTTATCAAGCAATTTTGCGCTAAGTTATAAATGATGGCAATTTTTGCGTATCAACACGCTACAAGTATAACACTTATGGTTGTGATGACACCACCAAACTGCAAAACGCAAAAGAAAGGGCGTTTATAGAATTTACGGCTAATAATAATTATCGGAAAATAAAAACCACTAATATATACAAAAATAGTATTTATTTTATTTGGTCCTTTATTTGTTTGTGTCAAGCAAAGTATACAGCTCTACTGTCTTAAGGTTTCAGTAGGGTAATCTTTTTTCAAAATTTTTAAAAAATTTTTTTTGCATGTTCTGTTCCCATGTACCCTTAAAATTAATGCTGAACCCCATTTTACTATTGGAAGGTTTCAAACCAGGCTCAAAAATAATAATACTGCTGAATGTTCGGAGCGCTCGGACTGCTCACTTGGCAGTACCTCAAATTTTAAGCGCGTTTTTCTCAAAACACACTCTCTTAAATTGGCGGACATGATTCCGGTCGAACTACTCAACCGATTTGCTTAAAGTTTTATTTTTTTTATGTTCACAAAACGCTTGGCTATCGTCCCTATATTTTTTATAATTTACTGACAATATTATGACAAAATTTTTGTAAACAAAAATTGAGAAAAATTAAAAAAAAAAACGTTGATTACTTTGTTGTTCATCAACAATTTTCATGATTCTTGTAGGGACGATAACCACTCATGTAGTTTTTAAGAACAAATTGGGTTTTTGTATTTCAATGCCAGTGAAAAAATGCATCTCATTCACCCAGCCATTTCTCCGACAGCTGTTATCAAAAAATTTCGAAAAATTTTGTTTACTCACTCCACGATATACCTCATGATATATGGAAAAGGTTCTATTGTAGCATAAAAATTTCTATGGAAAAAAAATGTCAAAAAAACAGGCCAGATTAGCCCACTGACCCTTTAACAGCTGTATTGCTTGAATCACATCTCCTGCAATGGCAGTACTTATAAAAATAACGCTAACTTGCACTTAAATGCTTCACATCTTTGTCACCTTAAAGAAACTTACTTCAAGTTTTCAGCTAAACATCAAGATAACCCAAATGCAAATAGTTCGGAATAATCCGCAGCAGCTCGTCGAGGTACTCTTTGTCATAAATCTTAAGAGTGTACTCTTTGTCGGTTATCAGCAAATCTGGTGACAAATCTCCGCGACAAAATTTAGGCCACATCGGCAGAAATAGCATCATCATCAGCAATTCTTTCAAACGAAAATAGAACAAAATTAGCAATCTTCGCGCTGCTTATGTAAGACTTAAGAGAAATCTTGAAAATCTTTCGCGCACTTACCTGTGTATCTGTGACGGAACAAGTGCTCCCGAAATTTGACCAGTCTCGGTAAAGGGCCGTCGTATCCTATTTTCTCAAGAGTTTCCTTGAAAATAGTGAAGTAGTAATGCAGGAATTCAGCTGTACGTGGACGCAACTTATCATCTAACAACATGAATATGGAGTACACCAAATCACTGGTTATTGGACCAACATGGGAAAACTGATAGTCCAAGAGCATAACGTCTTCAAATTTTCCGGTATCTGGATTATGCTTGTACATCATATTTTTCGAATGGAAATCACCATGATTGAGCACATAGTAAGCGTTATCAACCGGCGCCACTCGATATTCGTTATAGGAAGCAACAGCCTCATCGAGTAGATCCACTTTCTCCAAAAGTTTCTCAAAAGTTGGTAAATATTCCTGCAACTCTGGTGTTTTTTGCACAAATTCCAAAAACGTTTTCGTACCGTTCATGAAGAATGGATTTTCCCTAATACTGTCCTGCGAGAAGAAACTGTGGCGATATTCATCGAAGTAGTGTGGTTCCTAGACGATGTTTGTAAAATAAATTATCAAATGAATTACTTGATGAAATTCAAGATTAACCTCCTCACATACCTCTTTTATTATTTTGTAACTGATTGCGTGCCATTTGGCTAGTTTGGCGTAAGCGGCTTTTACTTCGTCCTCATTCGCAAAACGTCCGCGCATTACATTGTAGCCCAGTGGCACGATATCCTCAAATACGATGAGTTTGTGTGGAGATAACGCATGATAGAGTACACTTGAGCGTGAAAAAGAAATTGTATCACTTTCATATCATGCAATCACGACTGGTACTTACGGTGCTTTCAACGTTGTGTTATCACCAATATCACGCAGTTGCTTTTCGAAGCGTGGCAGTACCTGCGTATACATGCCAATCTCAATCTCGAATATGTCAAATTTCTCCAACATATCTTTTTTGGTGCCCTCCACCTCTGGCATTGTTTTTATGATCATCGATTTGCTTTTCTCTACATCACCTAACCGATACTCCGTCAATGCACGAAACATTATGCTGGCATAGTGGTCACCTTTAACAGTGGCTGGAGTGAGTTTGAAGCTTTTCAACACCACATCACTTGCGTTTTGCTCACAATTCTGCAACACTTGCGTAAAAAACGCACTATCTAACCATTGTGGCGGCTGCAGCTCATCCTCGTTGTATTCCTCGGCTTTAGGTGCCATATTATCTCTAAAATGCCAGTCACTGTTTACTTGTCGATCGCTGTGCGTAGTTTGCGTTCTGCGGATAAACGAATGTAGCTTTAAATACTAAAGCGCAAAGCGTTGAGTGCGGTTTCTCTGAAATGACCAAGCAACATTTCATATGTAGATAAGATCATTACTCTAAAATTATATACAATGAAGCAGAAATAGATTAATTCAAAGTAGACACTTGTTTTTTCGTTTCGTTTTGGTCTTTGCATTTTGGTGGTGTCATCACAACCATAAATGATATACTTGTAGTGTGTTGATACGCAAAAATTGCTATAATTTTTAACTTAGCGCAAAATTGCTTGATAAATAAAAATATTCAGCTCGAGTACCGTTCGAGCAGTTGTCTGATAGTTCTTAGCTGAGCATTGTTAACTCAAAAGTGTATATACCCAACAATATGCTAGTACTTAGGGTGTAGAACTGCAGGTGAATTGGCAAAAGGCGGTCTCAGTTAGATAATAAGAACTCAAGTATTATGAGTTATGCTTGACAGACGATTAAACATGGTTCAGTTTTATTTGTAAAACAATTTAGATAATACAATGTGATCGCGCTGCTGTCATGTTTCGATTAAAGCAGAAACTATTTAAGACATCTTAGTGGTAGTAGTTAGTAGCATGCTAAGTATACCCGCTTAGCTGGTTGAGTTAGACGGCAATAAATATATCCGCGCTGAGGCAAATATTTGGTTAACTAATTTCTCTTCGGTTCGCAAGCAAATCAGTTGTGAGAATTTTACTTTTATTGCTATATGTGAGACATAGATTATTTTAACAATATATATATGTATATTAGGGTGTTTTTTTTTTGAACTATTCATTGTTTTCAATCTTATTATGAAATTCGTTGAAATTACCTTAAAAAAATTCCCCGAAAATTTGAGCCCTTAATAATAACATTCTTACTTATCATCTGTGAAAATTCTACAAAGCCTTACTTAAAGCGCCGAATATCTCGAGAAGTATTAATGATGGTGGTTTTGACTTTAGACCTTTTTTATAACAAATAGAATTTCTTACAAGTTTTTCTTGTACAAGTTTTCTATAGCTCTTGTCATTTACGAGATGTTTTCAAAAACATGCGAATTTCGTGGAAATGTCAGGCTTTGAGCCCCGTACTACCTCGCTTTGTCGCAATAAGCACTTTTTTAGAGTGTTCAATTCTGAGAATTATGTGTCTACAGTCAAAGCGATACCATAAAATGCCTCTGGCTATAGAAATTTAAAGATAAAAAATCTCGATTGTCTTCTTTTCCTATAGAAAATTTTTACATGTTTTTTCCAGTCCTTAATATTAATATTAAGGGCTAAAATCTTCAAGGAATTTTTTTTTGGGTACTTCCAAGTTAATTTCCTGATGGGACAGGAAAAAACTAATGATATGATTTTTAATTACTTCATGTATGCCACTGATGATTTTGAAATAAAGCGACGAAACGACAAGCGTGTTGCTAATTATATGCTTCGTACCTGAACAGAGGCATAWGACGTTAGCAGAGMGCAAATGAGAGTGTTTAGCAACAAAAAAATTTCGGTAAACTACTCAAAAACAGTTCAGATTACGTAAGACAGCACGMWGAAAAAATATGMTGHGTAATCGTGWGTTAACATATATAAGTACATAGGTATATGTATGTATATATTTATACTTGTTATTAAATATGTAGTGTCAACACTATGTGAATAACAAGTAGTAATTGTACATTTAGTCATTATTTTTGTAACGCACATAGTATTCCCAATAACTGCGCTGAAGCTTTTATCAAAGATCCGCTGAGGCGCTCAGAATATTGTGTAAATTTTAGTAGTGTTGGTTTCGTTTCAAGAAATTCAATAAAGGTATGAATAGTGACTTTGTTCGCTCTCTTTGTATGACAGCTTTATGCTATTGTGGTCCAATATCAATGGTTCTGACATATAAACAGCTTCTTGGAGAGAAACAGATCGTGTGCATATTCCAGATCTGCACCTGGAAAGCATCCATTATCAATTATAAATATATAAATAATGATATCAAGTACTATACTAAGTGGTCAAGGTGCTTTTATCTTTTTAATGTCACAATTGTTGTTTCGTAAATTGCCGACATTTTTATCCACATGTTTCTTACTTTTTGCAGAATGCGTTAATTCATTCCGTTGTCAAAGAGAAAAGGTCTGAAAATTGCATCAAATGAATTGAACCAGATGTAAGTATCCATACTTTCCTAAGAGTGCCCGCACATGGCTTCCGCATCCAGCATATTTTCCAGATCTGGTCCCCAGTGACTATTTCCTGTCCTCAAATCTCAAAAAAATGCTCGCTGGGAAGAAACTTTCGTCGAATAAAATGGTGTTCGCCAAAACTGAGGCCTATTTGTCAGCAAAGAACAAATCGTACCAGAAAGAAGGTATCGAAAAGTTGGAGGGTACCTATAAACAGTGAACTATGCTTAAAGGGAACTTTGCTGAATAAAAAAATTACTTTTGCCAAAGCATGACGGTGCTCTTTGTAGATTTTTGTCCTCGGCTATTATAACGTCTATAATATAAACTCGGAGAGTTTAATGTCTCAACGTATTTACTTATCGATTTGTCCCACTTTTCGTAGTTTTTAACAAAATTAATATACATACGATTATGACGATTGTGAGGTGTTCTAACCTGAAAAAATTAAACTTATTAGAATACGGGGCCACACACGATTTAAAAGCGTGTGTGTGTCACTCTTTAATGCATTTCGTCTAACAGCCTTGTGTGGAGCTTACTTATGGCATTTTAAAGGTTTTTGATTAATGGAGTTTTGTAGACTCGGTAGTGATCCGATTCCAGTACTGAATCTCCTTAGATATAGAGGTACGTGTGATCTAGGAACATGTGACCAAGTGTGAAATATTCAAAATTACATTCAAGAGAGACACAAGAATTAAGCCATACATGCATAAGCCGTGTTCGTTTCGCCACTCGCTACTATGTTTGAGAGCAGTAAACCAAATAACTGAGTTAAATTGTTAAAATAATATACTCGATCTTAAGTACTTTGCCAGGTAAATAGTTTCAGCTTTAAAGAATAAAATAATTTGTTCTTTTTTTTATATATTTTTTTTTTATTGTAAATGTACAATTAATCCTCCAAATAGCCTAGATGCAAGTACTGAGGTAAAATATGCTCCACATACTTTACGTATTCCACTGAATCGTACATAGAGCGACGATATTCGTCGGATGTCATGATATTTTCCACGTTACCCTTCTCATTGAGAGCGTGCCACATGGGCAAAAATGTCACCAAGAGAAACAGTTCTAAAAAAAGTAGAGAAATTTATTTCATTATGTATCGTCTAGTGGCATTATGTTCGGTTGTGTAATTTGTCAACAATTTGTAAGAGTAGTTAAGTGCTCAATACTTGCCCAAGTCTTTATGACGCATATGTTCTTTCCTCATCTGCAAAAGTGACGGTGAAGTACCCTTAAAACCGATACTGGCTAGAGTGTCTTTGAAAACGGTGTAGTAATAGTACAGCAGTGCTGGAAAATCTAATCGTAACTTCTCATCCAACATACAATAGATGGAATATATCAAATCATTCACATTCGGACCCACGTAGCAAATTTGGAAGTCTAACAGCATAACATTGACCATGTCATCGCTTTCCTTGTGATGTTTAAACATCAAGTTTTTGTCATGAAAATCACCATGACAGAGAACATAGCATGCACCCTCTTTCGGCGACTCACGGTACTCGGCATAACTTTGACGACAACTTTCTAAGAGTTTGGGCTTCAATTTCTCAAAATATGGTAAATAAGCCTGTAAAGAAGGCGTTTTTCTCAGTAGATCTATGAAATTTTCTATACCAGTTGACATAAATGGCTCTGCTAAGTTCGACGTGCTGAATATGCCACGCTGAAATTCGTCAAAAAACTGTGGTTCCTGAAAACACATGCAAGAATGTATTTAATTACAGTCGAATATCCAGTTCAACCAAATCTTTTCAAATTTTCAAGTGTAATAAGAACCTCTAGATTGATTTTGTAGCTGATGGCATGCCACTTGGCTAACGTAGAATAGGCCGCTTTCACTTCGTTCATGGTAAGAGTTCGATCGCGCACCACCTCATAACCGGCGGCCACTAGGTCTTCGAAGACAATCACTTGCTTGGGCGTCAAAGCGCTGTATAAACACCTGCAATTATTCGTTCATTTCATTGAATGTGAAATCGCACAACTTTGTGGTTTTGCGAAATACTAACGGTACTTTCAGCATTGTATTATCGCCAACGTCGCGTAGAATCTTTTCGAAACGCGGTAGAATCTTAGTATACATGCTTATTTCCTTTTCAAAAATATCCGTCTTGCCTAGCATCTCCTTTTTATGGCCATCGCTTTCCGGCATAGTTTTCAAGACCACAGATTTAGTTTTGTGCACACCATTCACTCGATATTCCAGTTGCGCGCGAAAGATGATGCTTGCRTAGTGATCACCCTTCACGGAAGCTGGTGAGATGTTCACATTCACAATTTCTATTTTGCTKGKTTTTTGCTCACAGTTCGTCAACACCTTCAAGAAGAAATCATTGTTCACCCATTCCGGCGCCTGTAGTTCGTCGGCATTGAAATCATCGGTGTTTCCAGTCATTTTTATTTACACACGCTTCCGTTTAATTTGCGAACTCAGTGTGAATTGAAAGCATTCACAATTCTAACTGAACGTAAATTTCAAACTACTAAATCAGCTGAGCATGGTTTGATGAGCGATATATAATAAACAATTTAACTAATGGAATATACTGAGCATACATTAGTTAAACAACATTGTTAAAATAGAAGAGAGAGAGAGAGAGCAATGTAAAAATCAACAACCAGAAGTAAGAAAGGCCTACGTTTGGTTATAGCCTAACATTTTATCTTTTAGCAACTTGCAGAGAGCAAAGCGGGGGAAGTACCTACAAGTATATAAGGATTGTTAGTTATATGGGGTCCACGACTGATTTGTACTCGATTTTATTTACTCTAAGCATAAATGTGCACCGTTGTAAGAAAAATACACTCCCTCAATTTTATTAAGAGAGCTCACATATTGACCGATATATGCGGTATAAAGTCAGGCGGAAGCTAAAAAAAATGTATTTTTAGTATATGAGGGCTAAGTTAAGTATTGGCCCAATTCAATGCATTTTTGGCGCACAGACATACTATTATATTATCTGGAAAGGATTCTCTCTGAATTTCAATTACATATATATTTCGAATATAGACCGATATTCAACTATATGCATCGGGACCGCTTAAACACTTTTGCTTCGATGTACGTAATTTTTTCGCCCATTTTCTTTCTGTAAACTAAGAATGTCATTGAAATATCAGGTACTACAGTTAGTTGAAATTCGTCTGGCGGATCTCGAGCGTATAGAGAGGCGGAACACGAACTATTTTCAAAATATAATACATAAAGCTATAGAACTTTAAAGATAAAAAATCACGACTGTCCTGTATTTTCTATAGAAAATTTTTACATGTTTTGTTCCAGTCCTTATATTGTTAATATTAAGGGCTCAAATTTTCCGAGAATTTTTTTTACAGTATTTCCAAGGGAATTTCATGATGGGATTGAAAAAACTGAATAGTTAAAAAAAAATATATTCGAATGCATATACTAATGATGGATCATTAGTTAATTCATATATGACACTGATGATTTTGCAATAAAGAGACGGAACGACAAGCGTGTTGCTAATTATATGCTCCATACCTGAACAGCAGCATAAGACGTTAGCTGAGAGCAAATGAGAGTTTTTAGCATCAAAAAAATTTCGGTAAACTACTCAAAAACAGTTCAGATTACGTAAGACAGCACGCAGAAAAAATATGCTGCGTAATCGTGAGTTAACATATATA